TGTAAACACATGAGTGTAAATTAACACAAATAAATTGATTTGATTTGATTTGATTTGAAAAAGTATAGTATTCAACTCGTAGGTAATGGCTATTACTCACAAAGGATGAAGTTTGCACTACGAGCCGCAGGCGAGTAGTGTATTCATAGCCCCATAGTGTATTCATAGCCCGCTCGTTGAATAATATACTATTTTTACAACTTTGACAGGCTGTAAAACCTAGACATTTAATTTAAAAGCAAAACCGTAAACCCTTAGATTCATAAACGATCATTTAATGCCCGATTGCACCGTCTCTCTTAACTGAGGCTTAACGATAACTATCCCTTAAATTGACAGTTTTGCATGGGAAAATGTCACTTTAAGGAATAGTTATCCTTAAGCCTCGGTTAAGAAAGACGGTGCAATCGGGCATAACACCAACTTTAAATTTAACCGGAGATTAAATTTAATTAGAATTTTGAATCATGTAGGGCCGATAATTTTGATCTTGATAATGAATTTGGTACACGTCATTGAATTTAACAAGCTTTTGTATGGGACAAGGTCTGTAATCTATATGATGTGGTAAGAGCACATTCAAACCCCTGATTATTTTTAACGTCTGTCAAATTTGAAAACTGAGAACAAAAGTACCGGCACGTAATGTATCTGTCTCAATATGGTCTCGATCAAGCGACAAGCGTACTCCGGTCGCTGCTGATACGCGGTTCATACTTCCCTTACGGGCCTTACGGCCCTCACGCGATCGGAATTTTTGTGAAACAAAGACGTTTCACTTCAAAAATACCTAAAAAAATTATATCCGAGGCATGTTTTTTTAATGACTTTTGGGTAAAAATTTGGGCATTCGTGACACTCAAAAAAGTTTGAGCCCCCCTTTAAGGGGGCCCATTGGAATATCTGTACTGGGGCCCGCGCGTGCTTAGCACGGCCCTGGCAGGGCATCAACAGATTGCGAGCCAAGACGAAATATCGATGACATTGATAATTGAACTTCAATCTGCGGATGATAACCTCTTGATGGCCAATACAGAGGAAGATCTTCAGGCAATTATCAATGCATTCAACCAGGCATACAGGAAAATCGGCTTAAAGCTCAACCTTAACACTACTCATACCTTGGGAGTCATCTATCAGCGAATGCAACTATTGATGATAAAATCCAACATTGCTTGAAGTGTGCTAGCGCAGCGTTTGGGCGACTTCTAGAGAAAGCCTGCAACAATCACGACGCATCAGTGCTGAGACCAAACTTCGCATCTACAATACAGTTATAATACCAACACTTCCATATGGCTGCGAAACATGAACCACCTAGAGAAGGCTTTCAAAAAGCCTAGAAAAATATCACCAACGATGTCTAAGAAGGATCCCATGGATTAAATGGCAAGACCCACGGAACGGCCGTTTGGAGGAGGCCAAAACAACTAATATGGAAGCCCTCATCAAAAAGCACCAACTTCACTGGACAGATCACCTCCGCATATCCTATTTCCACGAAAGATTCTCTACGGTCAACTGAGAGTGGCAAATCGAAATCAGGGTAGTCAACAAAAACGCTAAAAGGATGTTCTTAGGAAGAATATGGATGGAGTGCTGCAAGGATGCCAGCTACTGGGAGACGGCGGCAAATCATTGGCCCTCATGGCGTCGAATAGTCCACGACGAAGACGACGAACCATTAATTTTTGAAAAACAGCGACGCAGACACGAGACCGAAAAATTGGACCGCAGGAAGGAGCGAGAGAACAGAGAAAGAGACAATGCTGGGTGTGCCAGGACTGTGGAAGAATGTGCGGCTCCAGAATTGGTTTATATAGCTATCAGAAAACACCCGATCGATAATAAGAATAGAATAGATGATAATCATACTCGGCATCGAGTCATGCAAATAGCGAAATTACTTTTTCAGTATTAAAAATCAGGGACGGAACAAAGTTAATCTAATTTTCATAGAAATGTGTTTGTTCTTCAAGCCTCTAGAGTCACCCCTAGAAAATTTCAAATTAGAAACTACAATCATAACTTCATACGTTTTCTGCTAGCTATCCTCTATATATTTAAATATATAAATAAAGTGGGTAGGTAAGCACCATTATTTAATAAATTTGAGATATTTTTATTATTTATCACTTATTTACTAGATAGGTACCTACCTACAACTAGTAGGTATGTATTCGTGAATCTCAATACGTGTTGCCTGATAATTTGTTACTTTTCAGGAAAAAGAATAATGACTGCGCTGGAATTTTAGCTCGAATTTCTTATCTACCATTGCGCGATAACTTCGTGCCTGCTGAGTACGTAATAGAGCTCGTCAGAAAATTAGATAAAGCTGATTCAACTATTGATAAATACAGTCGTCTCCGTATATCACTAATACAGCTTCTCAAATAGTTGCCTTTTTTCCAACAAGAATACAAAAGTCATAACAGAAACCAACATGTTTCTTATTTTATGGCTTTTGAAATAGATCTATTATACAGGGTGCTTCATAACTATTACCGACAAACATTCAGGGGTGTTAGGGAACATCAAAACAATCGTTTTTTGCTTCATGAAGTTATGTCCAGTATCGCTTCGTTTTTTGAGATACAGGGTGTTGCGAAAAAATCGTTTTTGCCCCGTAAATTCGAAACTTCAACATCCTGCATCTCGAAAACGGAGCGTTGTTCATAGAAAAAAAATGGTTGTTTTGATGTTCGTCCAACTCCGAAAGGTTTGTCGGTATAGTTATGAAACACCCTGTATATCAGGTCGTATAGCCCTCTCCGGGGGCTAAAGGAGTTCGGCCGGGTGAACCTGTAATTATTCAATGAATCGAGTTGGAAGAGGCAAACGATTGAGCTAGGAGAGAGTTGAGGTTGAGGATGAGGAGACAGAGAAAAAAGAAGTGAAAAAGGAGGAAGGGGAGGAAACGGAAGAAGAGGAGGTAAATCAGTAGCAAAAGAATGATAAGGTAGCGGAGGGGGAGAAGGAAGAGCAAGAAGATGAGAAAGAGGAAGAGAGAAAAAAAATAGGCGCCCAAGAAAAAAATAATAATTTTGAAATACATTTATCAACTATTCTTGTCCTCTTACATATTTTCATGACTTTTAGGAATCAATTATAATTTGTAAGTCTTGTAGCGGTTTGACCAATCGTGAATTTTAGAACCTAACATTCAAGAAATATCGATGAGAATAAAAATTCCTGCAACTTGTAACAATAGTTAATTATATCATTAGGCCAAGAAGTAGGTCTTTTTGTGCTGGCGTTGAATGAGAATTGAGCGGATGTGCGAGCTACGCATGTTACAGAGCCGAAATGCAACGTTCAAATAAGGTCATTTTGGAGGTATAGATTATGTCCTAAACTTTCAGATATTGAGCTTAGATTGGCTTATTGTAATTGTACATCATTATCAAACATAACCGCTATTTGAGATTATCATAATATTATGTAAATGCTTATTTTCGCCTCCTAATGACAATCGCTCGACCTGAATAGTGAATTTTGGCATCATATTTGAATTTTCAAGCAAAAAAAAATGAATTTATTGGTTTCATTTTGCAGTACAATTATCAAATTATTATTAATATCACGTTCAATAGGTAAAAAATGCGATGCTTAGGTACTTCGACCAGCCATGATGTTGGGATAAAATCAGCGACTTGAATGTTGGGATTGTACTCGTAGTAGAATTTTTTTTTATTATAAACCTCCCTCAAAATGTATTAAGTACTTAAGAAAGAGTTGATTTAGCGACTTGGGGAATGCTTCAAACCTCCGAAAATTTCCTTAAAATGTATTCAGAGGAAAAGAAAGCTTAGTGATTTATTCATGTTAGTATAAAATCGAAACCTTTGTTTAATAAGTGTTGATGATTAATTAGTACCTACTTGATATTCAACCTTGGAAAAAAAGACATTTATTTATGAACACATCGATAAAATCAGTGAATTATCGTTGAAGGTACAAATAAGTAAGTAGTCAAACGTGAAAAGATACTTTATTCGTGAATTTAGCAAATTCAATTTAATCTTTAGTTACATTGTGCAATTTACTTGACTTATTTTTGAAGGAAGGAGACGACCAACTTTTACGAAATGCTTATCACTTTCTAGAATAAGTCAAATCCTTTAATAAATGTCCCGGATACGCTTTTATTTCAAAACACAGATTAGTTTGGCAAACAGTCAGCTTTCAGTGGAGAATTGAAACCTATGTTCAAAATAAGTGTTTAAGTTTAACCATTAATTTATTGGTTATTGGATTTGACAGCAACTACTGGCGATACGGACGATTTCAAGCCAAGACACACTTTGAATATTGATTGGTGGTCTTGAATTGAAAATGTTCCTATTTAATAATAGAATAATTAAATAGGTAATTCTATCAAGTGTTTTTTGATAACCAGTTTCAACACAGAAGTATCAGTTTTTATGCTGACTCCTAATCAGCCACCCTTTATTTAAAAATGTCCAAGATCGGTGTAAGAACCAAAGCTGGGCAGACTACAGTCTATTCCCTTGAAGAAGAGCTAAAAAGAGTAATTTTGCCAAATTTTTCGCTAATAGTAGCAATTATAAATATTCTCAATAAGTGATGCAGATTCCCAGAATAAAATGGAATATTTTTTTGTGATAAATATAGATCAAAAGTACAAACGGAAAAGTCAGAAATTATATTTTGTGTTTATGCGACATTATTAAATTCAAATTAGTTGAGCCAAATGAGTCGAACTCGTTATTAATAACTTTTCATCGAAATTCAATTGGTCCCATTCAATTTTATTATCATTTGTATGTCAAAAGTATATATGAAGCAAAAATATTTATATCGCAACATGAAAAACTTTACATTTTATTTTTCTTGGAAGCATTTTGAGTTTGGTGAACCAAATAGGGATAAATGTGTCAGATGTAGTTATTGAAACTATTCTTATGAGTATCTACGTACAATTACAATTTACTCGAAGACTGCCTAGCTTTGATTAAGACAAATGGTCATTTTACCTCGCTTTTTCTAACTCGTGCATCCAAACCATTGTTTCTGTTTCGCCTATACCGCATAGTTCGAATCTTCTTACATAGTCTTTACCAAAACTAATTTGAAAGTAAAACTGTAATAAATATAGAAATGATTGTAAATTATTTTTTTTATTATCTTATAACTTGATGATAAAAATTATACTCTCAGGTGCAAAAGAACACGGGTCACAATTTCATGTTTTTGTATACATTTTAACACCATTATACTGTTCGTGATTTAGAAACAACTTTGATTGTTCTGATTAACTCAAAAGGTTACAGAATAAGATAAAGTTTGCTGCTCAAATATCAGTTTTAATAATAGAAAAAAAAAATTGTACCAAAATTAATTCCTCGTCACCAGTAACAAAATTACATTTTTCTCGTGAATATACTTACAGCTCAATCATCGACGAGATTTAATAGTGGTGGTGGCTGAGTTATAAGTAGAGCCAATACTGAATTAGGTAGTCTTTATTGATTGTGGACTACTGACCTCACAAAGGTACAATGAGGAACTTTGGCTAATTTAAAAAAAATATTTGGCCAGCTTCTCCTCATACGTGTTTGGGACATCTTAGGATGCCGTGTTCCATGTCGTGACGTCATCCCAACCACACGAAATAAGCTTTATGTGGTACTTCAAGAATAATGGCATTGCATACCACAAAAGCTCTTCAAGAGATCAGAAGTCTTATGTCCCACCGCATATTTAGGGCGAAATAAGGTGATACAAAGTACCGAAAATTTTACGATTTTTTTTCTCATTGTTACTAGTATAACTAGTGAATGTTAATGTTCTTTGTTCTGTATACATTCTGTATTTATAGTTTCAATTAAAAAAAAAAAAACATTAGGGATGATATTTTTCATTGTGAAAGCAGAGCCCTGTTTGGCCAATTGTTTTAAAAAAACCATCCGAAATTATATTTATTATTTAATATATTATTTTATTTTATATCGTACTTCATCCCAATATATACCCTTAGGTATTAAAACCAAAAAATAAGAACATTAATCCAAATCAGAACAGTAATCTTGAAATTATAAAAAAATCCGAATGCTGAATCGGTAACCCGTTTATTTTGCACCTGAGTGATTTTTATTTACTTACGTTTCGATCTGCCATTTCTTTCTCCTTTTCAGCTTTATCTTTATCTTTTTCTTTGTCCTTTTCTTTGTCTTTAACTTTCTCTGGAGTAGGGGGAAGCATAGCAGCATCGCCATAGATTATACGTTCTAGATGAGACCCTTCTAAGAAGATAATACCCAACGGTCTATCTTTCTTGTCTTTATTTTCGTAATAAAAGAGAAGATTCTCGAAAAACAAAACATTACAAATTACAAATTGTTCAGTAAAATCTGTGTATTTTATTAAAACTAATTATTTATTTATTTATAGCATGTCGTGGGCGTCATTACCTATTGGTATTCTTGTTAATATTACAAACTGGACCTGATAATGAGCAGTTTGCGTTCATCAAATTGAATAGAGCCAAATCAAATAGCTCTAATCAAGTCATGAATAGCCATAATTAATATAACCTCAGAGGATTGGTTATAATACCTAATATTTTCCAGTTATGTATATAAGACGAGATACTTCCGGATCTTGTAAACTAAATAAAAATATTCTTTTTATAATAAGGATATATCGGTCAAAAATTTTATTTAGAAGCGAAAAATAAATGTGATAAAACATATATTGGACAAACATCACAAACCAAAAAAAAAAAATAATGGCAGGACATGAAAGTGATATAAGACTAAGTAATAAGAGACCACTGCAATAGCTAAACTTAAATTTACAACTGGACATCTTCCTTATTATAGCAGCATTCAAATATTACATAAAGAACAAAATTTAGTTTAAAGATTATTTCTAGGAATGGTAGAAATTCGAAAGCATGAAAATTCAGTTAACATAAAAGCAGATATTGAGGACTTGAGCATTATTTAGAGCCGGTTTATTCACCTTCTGATAAACTGTCAGGTATGCAATCTGGCGGATAAAATATTATATTATATATTTTTTTTATTCCTGAAGAAAAAACAAATTTATTTCGAAAGCTTGACAATAGAGAGTTCTCGTACTGTCCAAATTTCAAATACCCTAACGTTATTTGACAAGTATGACAGTTCTTAGCTGGATTCAGAGCTTCCGTAACGTAAGACTTAAAACTTAAGCGTAAATCAATGGGACAATCCATAGTGCCACCGTAAGACTTAAGCTGTAAGCCGTAAGCAGTAAGAAATGGTTCAAGTCCATTTCTTGCGTTACGGCTTGAGTTTTCGTTGAGAATCGCTAGGTTTCGTAAAGCGGCCGATCGTGAAACTGATATTTGGCCACATGTTTTTGATTGTTTTTGTTTTGGTTTTTGATTGTTTTAGTTTTTGTTTTGTTTCTGGTGGTTGAATTTCTTTTCAGTTCAGGTAGTTGATAAATATGGAAACCTAACCTAAAAATATAATATAATTTCTTACTTCTTAAGTTTTAAATTAATTCTGAATTGACTGCCATTTTTTTCTTAAGTTTCACGGATTAAGTCTTGAGTCTTACGTTACGGAAGCTCTGAGCGAACCTTTACGGTATACCTAATGGGAGTTAGCGGATGCCTTACCGTAAGCCATACTATGTCAAAATTAGTTTACGCTCCATTTACGTCTGCAAGAACATCAACTTCTGATAATTCCTCCATGAAAAATACCAAGGGAAAATTAATGAAACTCAGGAATCTTCAGGATAAATAAAAGTTGGCAAACAAGCAAAAAAAAGTTGGGTTAGATCACTCAATTCAGCAGTCAAAATTTAAACAGAATAAGGGATTAGAGGATTTTTGTGTCTTCGTGTCCGAGAACTATAAAATACCGTACTGTTAGCGGTACCGTATTAGCGTAGCGTCTGAGGCACGAGAACTTTCTTTACACAAGAGTTTTTCTACTTTATAGTTTTTGATCGATATATATTATTATTATGAAAAGAAGATTTTCACGGTCGTTGGATCAAAAACTACTCTAAAGTAGTATATTATTGTTTATTAGGTACCTACTGGTATTTTTCACACAAAAAAATATTTGCATTTATCGGTTATAATACTTAAATTTTATATAGTGTTCCGAATGGATCTCTTGCACTCAATTAAAATTAGGTATATAATTTATCTGTAACGAAAGTGTATTTGATGTACTACATAAAAGTATGGCTGGTTAATTTTTTTAAAAATCTTGGAGTCAAAAATTGAAAGAAAAAAAATCAGATTATTTGAATTTTGCGGTATAATTTTGCACTAATCAAAAATCACTGTTTGTCTAAGGTTTGCCAAATTTCCATGTTCCAAACGAATATTTTTTTTTTCTTTTTGAACACATCGGACAAAAAAGGAGGCATATATTTATCAAAATCGCTTTGCGTATCGACTTTGGTATACAGCTCTACCTTCGCCTTGAAACTTGAGGAGAACGACATAAATTAATTGAAGTATCGACAATTTTCTTTCCTTGTCTATAAATGCGAATTAAACAAAGAAATCGATATCTGCACTAATCCGGCACAGCATAGAGTACGAAAACGATAAAAGCGATTTTTGTTTACCGACCTTACCGTAGGTCAGTGACCCCTGGCTGGCCAATTTACTTATAATCACAAAATAAACAATAATTAACAACAAAAAACAGCAGGCTGGGGCTGGAGGCAGTGTAATTTGAAGAAAAAAAAAATGATGTTTTTGCCTGGGAAAATTTGAAAAGGTCTTTAGGGAAACTGGAAGGTATGGAATACAGACACATAAAAATTATACTCCTGTTTTATTTCCCATAAACCACTAAGAAAAATAATAATAATTTTAATAGTTAGGTAATTATTGTTTATTTTGTTTGTGCGATGGAGGATGGAAGAGTTTGTAAAAACTGATTCCAGGAACTGGCCAGGCGGACTTGAGATAATGCCAATGCTTTCGGAAAAAAATTCACATGAAGGGTGAAGTTTGTTTTTTTATTGAAGTCAAAATGACATTATGTTGGAAATACAATGAAAAATTGTCAAATTTTTTATGTAGAAAAGGCTTATGTTGCCAACATAGGTAGTTACTAAATTTTTGACTTGGGGAATTAGGTATCTTTAAAAAAAAAACAGACTTTAGGTACTTGCTAGATAGGTATTAGTAAAATGCAGGTGGAGTAGAGTAGAGCAACCTTCCACAAATAATGATTTCCTTATATGCTTATTAGGTAGAAACCTCTAAAATTTAGAAGCACACACTAAAGTCTGTTTTTTTTTTAAAGATAATTCCCAAAGTCAAAAATTTAGTAACTTTGTTGGCAACACAAGCCTTTTCTACATAAAAAATTTGAAGCATTGACAATTTTACATTGTATTGCCAACATAATGTCATTTTGACTTTTATCTTAAAAAAAAAAACGGATTTTAGTAAATGAGTACCTAAGGTATTTAATTATGAACGACATAATGGCCTTAAGCCTCATTTACACGGTGCAAGTAGCTTGAGCAAGTACTAACGCCAGTAACTAAAATTTAGTAACATGAATCGTGTAAACACCTTAATTTAGTACTTGAGCAAGTAAACTCCTTAGTCAAGTGATTAGTCAAGTGAATAGAAGCAGGTTCTATTTACTTGAGCAAGTGGCTTTCCCCACCTCGTTTATTTTACTGACTTTCGTGGACTGGACGCGTGTAGACAGGATTTGTATTTAGTGATTAGTGAAGTACATTAATAGGGTTTGAATTCGAATATTTTGAGTATTGTGTTGCACCTATTAATTTCCTTTGCAATGTCGTCTCGTTGGACGCTAAAGTTGTGTGCTAATCATGGGTTTTATTTTGAAAAGTAACTTATTGAATTGTTCTTTTGTCATCCGCATACAATTTCAATATTCTTCTGGATCTTCCTTAGCCAGTTCAACCAATAAATTGAAAGATGCACCATGTGTTTCTCTACGAGATATCCATGGTCGAACCCAACAACGTTTTTCTTTTTCAATTTCTTTCAATAAAATTTCTGATAATTCTCCACAAACACTCAAAATGCATTTTTGAATTTCTTTTCGGTCAACTGGTACTTGCTGCCATTTCACCTCTATTTGCACTAATCACTAAATTCGATTTGAAATCAGTAAAATGCATGTAGACACTCACTTGCATGAAAACAAAGATAATTTAGCTACTGGCGTTAGTACTTGCTCAAGCTACTTGCACCGTGTAAATGAGACTTTATGCTCGGGTTTATTGTTTGTTTCTTGATGGTTTGTGTGCCTTCTCTTTCTCTGCCTTCTGTCTTTTTTGGAGAAGTTAATAATAAATAAATAAAAATAAATAATGAATAATCAATTGAAAAGTTGGGTTAAGTTTTCCATAGGGATGAGAATCGATTCCATATCCGATACTTACAAATCTGTGAATTTGATATATCGATTTAGTTGTCGCCCCCAGGAAAAGTTTACATGAAATTCTTGACATCTGGGCAACACTGATTAAAATTGACCAATCAAAAATTTGATTGGAAGAAATTGAAGAAATTTAAACTTCAAATCGAAATTTAAAGCCTTTGCAAGTCCGAAAAAAATCTGAAAAAAATACAGTTGAGCTTTATTTTGATTCCTCTTTCCCATAAGCAAATAAAAAAAATTCATGCAAGAGGTCCATTCTTGTTAATGTTAACCGATGGTAAATTAAAATATTGATTTTGTGAGCTTTTTGGGGTGTCGCTCGTTGAAAGTTAAAAATGCCCGCAGCCAAATGATTCCGGTATAAAATTTGCCATCCGGCTATCGTTTGGATCTTGGTTTACCGTATTTCTAGTCTAAAACATTGGTTTATATACTCAATCATCAGTGAATTATCGTTGGAGGTGCAAATAAGAAAGTAGTTTAACGTAAAATGATGCTTTATTCGTACATGTAGTACCTAGTAGATGTACCTTTAGTCAAATTGTGCAAGTCAATTTTGACTTATTGTTACAGGAAGGAGACAACCAACTTTTACGGAACGCCTTTCTCTCTCGGATACGCTTTTATTTCTAAAAACAGATCAATTTGACTTCATGGCTAAAGAGAAGAAAGAAGAGATTTTTATATAACTCGATTTTCATATAACTCGTTTCTGTGTGAATCTCCAAAACAAAGCTTGGTTCAATTAGTCAAGTAGTTATA